GCAGGGCCCTGATCTCCTCCAGGAGCTCATTTCATCATTACGGAGCTGCCACCGAAAAGGACACTGCAATTGATTGCTTTATAAAATATATGAAATGTTTAGAAAATTAATCTTATTAAATATAGAGGCATGTAGCCATTCATACGACCCCAAAGACTTAATGGCAGAAGCCTTAAGAGGAGGGTTTTTTGATTTCCACGAACTCTCTCCTCCCGCTGCTGATCCCCCATTTTGCTCCCATGCTGTTCCTGAGGGTCTGCTTGTCCAATTTAATGGGGGGAGCCCTCAGTGGGCTATTGAAAGAGGGGGAACCAGCTAAGGCCCACTCTGCAAAGTTCAGAGATGGTTGGATACATGCCACAGTTTGGATGTAATGTATTTGCTATACCCCCCCCCCCAAGGTCAGTTTTACGTTGTTGATAATCTAGTGGAATCAATCAAAAGGAAAAGTAGCCTGAAGATGCATTGGGTGAGAAAGGATTTAAATTTAAATGTAATTCAAACAGATTTTACGATAGTGCAATAACTCCCTTAGTTAAGATATTAGGTGAAACTTTTTTGATAATTAATGTGTGTGTTCCTTGTTTAAAAACTTTAGTTTTTATTGCAAAATTCTGGTTAGCTTTTGATAACTGTCTTGAAAATTTGGTTATCAGATATCCAACAGCACAGATTATTCTCTTGGGTGATATGAATGCAAGACTCAGTGCTAGCAGTGTGGATTTTCTGAAATTTTACGTTTGGAGAAGGCTTGGCCTTTCCTAAACTGGGTTAACAGTAGGATATCTTTAGATGGGGCATCAGTGTTGGTGGCACCTATTTGCTGAACTTAACAACAGAATTTAAGTTGGGAATTTTAAATGACCACCAGGAATTAATATCCGATCAGGTAACTAACTTTACTTATATCTCCACCCAAGGAGCCAGTATTTTAGACTATATTCTTGTAGCAGGTGAATTACGTTTAAGAATAGCTAAATTCACCATGATGGAAATTTTTTGTAGTGATCATCTCCCCGTAAAAAGTGCATTCCAAATTTTATACAACTGGTAGGCCCATATATCACAGGTATAATAAATGGAACCCCTATATTGCTGATAAAGCTAGGAAGCTGATGAATCAGGAAAGTATAGATGATATCAAAAGAGAAATTCTCAATCACACAACAGGACAAAACTTAGGTCAGTTCCTGGCTAAATTATTGGGAGCATTTCAAACCTTATTTCTGAAACATGTTGCAACTGTAAGAAGGGTGGGAAAGATGGAATGGTATGATAGTGAATGCCAGAAGGCTAAATCAAAACTCAAGAGGAACTATCAAAGAATGAAAATTTGCTGTACTCAGCATCATATTTCAGACTGTATTGATCAGAAATTAGTTTATAGGAGGCTATTGTGTGTGAAAAAGCAAAGACACACAAGACTGATGTGGCTAAAGTTGGATAATTGTGCCTAATCAAAAAAACCCTCAGTTGTTTTGGAAAACCCTTAATGATTTAAATAGGCAGCAGAGAAATCGTGAAAGCAAAGAGGAAATCTCTCAAGAAATCTGGGTGGACTATTTTCTACATGAGAGTGAAGGTATTGAGGCCAGTGATAAGATCTCTGAGTTGAAACTAGCTTAGCCTCAGTTACAGAAATATGGAAGTTGAACCTGATGAGGTTCTTAGGCTGATTCATTGCCTAAAACCTGGTAAGGCTGCAGGTCCAGATGGCATCCCATCCGAACTGTTCCTCTTAAGTCCCACTTTGTGGGCTTCACTTCTGGCTGTTTTTTTAAAATTGTATTAGATCAAACATGTGAAATCCCTGCAGACTGGCATGGTACCCATTTACAAAAATAAGGGTACTCACTTAGATCCCATGAATTATATTAGTTTGCTTTCTGTGCTGGGCAAATTCTATGCCATGCCTTTGGAACTCAAATTGGATGAACGATTACAATATTTTGGGACCTGAACAATTTGGCTTCAGGAAAGGTGTGACAGAGTGTCAAGGGTTAATATCTTACAAAGTCTGAGAACCTTTGAGTGACAGACAGGGCTGGCCCGAGGTTGTCCTGCACTCTAGGCGAGCGCAGATGCCAACCTCCCGGCGGGGCCTGGAGACCATCCTCCCAGCCCGCCTGGCAGGTAGGGGTGGCTCCATGCCCCCCCCTTTTAAAAAGGAGGCACAGAAAGGTGTGGGGGGGCAGACAGAAGAAGCTGCAAAACTCGGCAGGGTGTTTTGTTTGCAGCCGGGCTGTGCTGGGCCCTTTAGCTCTCACCCAGTGACATGGTGGGGAATGCTTCTAAAAATCAAAACAGGTACCACCCGGGGCTGCCGCCTCCTCCTCCTCCACCAGTGAAACGAGCAAAAAGTCTATTCAACACAGCCCCCTCCCTCGAGACCAGCCCCCCCCAGCCCGCTTCCCTCCTCCGAGCTGCTGCTCTCTTCTCGGCGCCTTCCTCTCTCTCCCTCTGTCGGCCGTCCAAGGCCCCTGAGGCGTGGTCTGCGGCGGGGAGACGGACGTTTTTGTTTTTGGCCACGCAAGACTCGGACGTTTTTGTTTTTGGCTGTTACAGACTTCCCAAAGGAGCCTGCCTGGGATCTATAGGTTTCGCTGGATCCCTGCCCCCATTTCCTTACAGACAGGCGAGTTAGGCACTGTATTTTGACCGACTGCAGGTGGTTGGTGCTTGGTTGAATGGAGATGAGTGGTTTTGGGGGTGCCCTTTGTTTGCTTGAGAGGGGATTGGCGTTTGATTGTTGTAGGCCGGGAGACAAATTCTGGAGTGGAGGCAAATCCCGCTCCCCTTGACCCGCGAACTAAACGCGTATCCCCCCCGCGCTGTGTTTAAACCTTTCTTTTTGCAAATTTTCACAAGCTGTCTCTCTTCATTTGTTGTTCCTAAATGGTGGGATGTCAGTCTCTCCCCAGGAGAGTGCTTCCTGAGACGCCCACACCCTGCAGGCGCCCTTCCCAGACAGAGTCCGGCTAAATGCCCGGCGCTGCCTCTGGGAAAGGTGCGCAAAGCCTTTCGCTCCCTCTCCTCTTCTGCCACCGCTGCCCGCTCCCGGCCACTCCAGGTGCGCCGCCCCCGCACAGGTCAGAGCCTTGCGCTGCCTCCTCCCGTGCGTCAGAGCCAGCGAGGACGAGGCGCACTTGAGGTCCGGCGGCAACGGCTCTTTGGCGCGCGGGAGTGCAGGGGGCAGGCAGGCGCACGTGCCGCCCCCACTCCCTCGCCAAAGAGACCCCCTCCCCCACAATCCCCTGAGAG